AATCCCACATATGCTTATCAGCCAGGTTGGCACAATAAACCTTAACTATCTCAGTTAGTGTCTGACAGCAAATCATTCAAATTGAATCTTGTGACTGCTGATGTTCTACAAAATTGCACTACCTTTCCCTTCTGGATGCCGAATGGGTACAGTGGCTCTGTTATTTTCTTGACTTTACAAAACTAATCGGATCCAGTTTTCACCATGGATAATGAAAATCAAAGAAAAATAGAGCTGCACATGAGCATATAAAGGGGGGTGTGCCTTTTTACTTCCAGGTTTACATTTTTTTCTCTTGTGGTTTCACTGTAAAAAGATTGAAATAGGATATGTATAACTAATAATGCTACATAATATATGAAGGGTTCACAAGGGTGGCAGGGTGGGCAAGGAAGGAATAAAGAGGAGCTAGTCACAAAGGGCTCAAGAAGCAAGAGAATGTTTTGAAATTGTTGATGGCAACACTTGTACATGTCTGCCTGATGTAATGTAAGTATGGATTGTTACAATATATGAACAGGCCCCAATAAAATGATTTATTAAAATAAAAAAGAAACAATTCTAATGCTATAATATTGAACTTCTGAACTCATTTAAAAAATAATTTTATTCAGGGCTCATACAACTCTTATCACAATCCATACATCTATCCATACTGTCAAGCATATTTGTACATTTGTTGCCATCATCATTTTCAAAATGAAAGTAGTAGTTTTCTTACTACGTGAGCCCTTGGTATCAGCTGTGAACTTGTTTTTACAATAACATTTATTGTCATGTGTTTATTTAATTTGTGATGTCATACAATTAATGCAAATTTCCCACATTTACTGAGCAATGTTGTTGTCATTTTAATACCACAAAACCAAACTTACTGCCATCGAGTTAACGTCAACTCATGGCGACCCTGTAGGACAGGGTAGAACTGCCCTTGTGAGTTTCTGAGACTGTAACTCTACTGGGGTAAAAAGTCCAGTATTTTTTTCCCCTGAGGTGTGGCTTGTGGTTTCAAAATGCTGACCTTTTGGATTACATACAGCCCAACACATAACCATTACAGTACCCGATTATCTATTGCTATTTGAATAGCTATAGCCAATTTGAAATGTATTTGTCCATTTCCCCCCCTCCTATATTTCCTTGTGATAAATTAGAAAAAGTGAAGCTTTATAGCTTAGGAAGGTGTGTTGAATGAAACTGTTCACTGTAGCTATTTACTGGTTGTGAGGTATTATTCTATCATAAATTAAATATGAAAGGAGATATGATATGACAGGAAATCTGACATATGATAATATATTACAAAAATGGACCATGATTTTATTTTGCCACATGGAAGTTATATATTGCATAAAGATTAATACAGCATACATTGGTATTCCACTAGCATTAAGGTTTTTGAGAACTATATTTAGAAATATCAGGATCCTGGTGGCACAGTGGTTAAGTGCTCAGTTGCTACCGGAAAGGTCAGTGATTCGAACTCCCCAGTCACTCCTCAGGAGAAAGGTTTCCAGCCTTGGCCACCTTATGGGACAGTTCTACTCTGTCTTACAGGGTCCCTCTGAGCTGGATTTAATGAAAATGAGTTTGGCTTAGACAGAAATAGATATGAAAATGAGCCAGAAAAAGAAGAAGAAAAAAGAAAACCGGTGAAAATAGTTAAGTGAGTGACTGAACGTACATTATTTCAGAGCTGTTGATTTCCTGGATTTAACTGGTATCATCGATTGGGGCTGAAGTGTTTATGGTGGAATAGACGAGTGCATTTCAAGAAAGCTTCATTGCTAATTACTCAGGTAACCAGGAGGATGATCTGCTGTGGTTGAAAGGAGTAGAATTAGATATAGATGAAGATTTTATAGATGGAGTTACCGTTTGAATGGAGCTAATAGAATGAATAACACCCCCACCAACCAACCAACCAACCCACCCTCACTGCCATTGAGTCCACTCTGACCCCGCTGTGGGTTTCCGAGTCTGTCGCTATTTACAGGAGGAGACAGCTCAGCCTTTATGCCACGGAGCACCTGCTGGTTTTGAACTGTGGATTATTCGGATCGCAGCCCAATGCATAACCACGACACCACCATGACACTTAGTGCTAACATACGTATCTGACTTTTAACACTTTGCTTATATTAAGTGGAATTTAGAATTGATTGAGGCCTTTGAGTCATTCATTATCCAATTGATGTTCTGTTAGCTTATTGAAATAATGCTTAAACATATTCTGAAGAATTTGATACTAGACAGCACAGGCATCTGCACATCACAGATACACACAAGACAGAGTGAATGACTCCCTAACTCTGGCCAAAACCTGAGAAATCCATGATTAAAATGACAAATAATGAGAGAAAATTCATTATATAAAGAGAGATGATGCTCATGGAGAAGATATAAGCACCATTGGCTGGCTAACTGACAAGCAAACAAATGGGGCACTATGTCAATCCTGTACAGTTCTCATACAAGACTCAAGTCAGAAGCAGTTTTACATAACTCTGATGAAATCAGGCCTATACAAATGTAAAATGGGAGGGGAAAAAAGAGGAGCTGATACCAAGGGCTCAAGTAGAAAGAAAATGTCTTGGAAATGTTGATGGCAACATATATACAAGTGTGCTTAATACAATTGAATGATGAACTGTTATAAGATTTGTAAGAACCCCCCCAGTAAAATGATTAGTTTACATTAAAAATGTAAAATGGGTTTATCAATTATAGCCTCACTGATGACTTAAGCAATCCCAGCTGCATTTAATAACCTTCCTACTGATGGTGTCAAAGCAAACTATTGATTCCCAACATGCCACATGTTTTTTGTGTGCATATATAGATATTTAAGACACTATTGCCTGGAATATGTCTTCATATTTCCTGTTTTCCTATTTCCCTTAAAACATGCCAGCTTAGAGCACTTATCACAATACTTTCAGAGTGTGTGGCTGTCCGAAGGTCTATCCCACTCCTGGTGCCACACTGCATAGATATCAAGTGGCTATTCATGAATTCTGACTTGAATGAATTCTCGACATAATAATTTGAATAATTTCATGAAAACAAAAGCCATATCATGTCACTTGAGTGTTTAAATCTTTCTGATGGTTTCTTATTGCACCAAAATAGATCCTCCACTTCTTGAGAGAGCTTTTAAAGTTCCATTTCCCCTCTCACCACTCTGCCTCACGCATCCAAACTGAGACCACCTCAGTCCTGCAGTTCCTGGGACAAGCGGAGTTCTCTTCCAACACATGGCTTTGCCCCTGCCATTTCCTCCGTCTAGAACAGCGGTTCTCAACCTGTGGGTCGAGACCCCTTTAGGGGTCGAGTGACTCTTTCACAGGGGTCACCCGATTCATAGCAGTAGCAAAATTACAGTGATGAAGTAGCAACGAGAATAATGTTATGGTTGGGGGGTCAGCACCCCATGAGGAACTGTACGGAAGTGTCCCGGCCTGAGGAAGGTTGAGAACCACTGCTCTAGAACATGCCTCACCTCTCATTTCTCATAGTTGACTCCTGTTTATCTTTCACATCTTAGCTTGAATGTCATTTCCTCAGAGTCCCTCCTTGGCCACTCAATTTAAAAGACATTCTGTTCCCTAACTAGTATCCTGTTATCTTCTTTTATAGTATTTATCATTATCTATACTTTATTTGCTTATATATTTTTATGTCTTATGTATTCATTAGACTGTAACATCTACAAAAGAGGAATTATATGCATATTTTATTTATGACGATCAACCTAGACCCTAGAATATGATAAGTGCTCAGTAAATATGTCAAATAAATGGATCATAGAACATCATCATGCTATTGCTCTGCTGGCCGACTTTTGCCTGGCTACTTGATGTTATCAAAAACTTCAATAGCCTTTTTCTAAGTCATTGAAGCAATACGCAGGAACTTCAAAAATTCATGGAAAGATTCCATTATCTTTTAAATCCATTTGCCCAGGATCTTTTTGAAGGTACCTTATCTGCAAACTCATTGTACCAGGGCTTGCTAAGCTGTTCAGGCAAGTATCTGGGTGGATGTTACAGGTAAGGGCTGCCCAGAAATGTGAAGGTTTGTTGAGACCTTGATTCTCATCTAAGACAAAAGCAGGCTCGGGGAGCATGGCGTCATGAAAGTAGCACGAGTCTGCACGGCTCCACTTGAGTTCATGGCCTGCCTTCCTCATCTGGTAGTCGGGAGACTTTCTTCATACTCTTTGCTCTTTTTGAACTTGAATTTCTTACGTGTAAATGAGGATAATACCTACCTCACAGGGTTGTTGTGGAAATTAAGCAGATACAGAGTGCCTGGAAAAATTTCCAACATAACAAAGACGTTAAAAATCTTAGCGCTTGGGAACCCAGGATAGATGACTTCTTCAGGACCAGCGGTGAGAGGGGCGAGGCCTGGAGGGTGAAGGGAATGCGGGGTAGAAGGGGGGAACCAATTACAAGAATCTAAGTACAGCCTCCTTCCTGGGGAATGGATAGCAG